GGGGGTTTTTTTTTTGGGGGCAGGGGGATGTAACCATGCTTCATGTTACAACCTAGATATGACATTAAACTTAATCCAGAAAGTGGACTAAACTTTTAAAGCTGCATCGGACAAATAAAAAGGTGAATCGGACTGCTTGCTATGGCCAACACAAATACTCTAGTTCCAAGGCCAACTTAGGCTAAACCTTACTATAGCCCATGAGTCTATTTTGTAGGCAGTGGCTTTTTGGGTTGGCTATTGAAATCGCCCTCAGACTGAGAGCGGAGTAGTGCAAGCTTTAAGATTAAAAGGCAATAACTGGTAATACAGCATTGCTGTTATACATTTAGGATGTTCTTATTATGATGGAGCTGTTCAGTATCTTCATGCAGTTCCACAAAGAGCCTGTAGGTGGGGCTGTTACTGTAAAACAGTGCCTACATCATAGGGATCCTGTCACTAAGATGAATAGGTTCCACCAGAAGCCGCCTGTAAGAGAAGATATTACAGCAGAACTGCAGCCACAAATAACAAGATTAAGTCAAAGTAAAGTAAAAAATTAAAAGTAAAAAAAAAAATCAGCTTTTCAGTCCAGAGCTCTCATGCAGTACTTCTTTTCCATCCTAAGATGCCCTCAGTCCGATGGCCAGCATCATGCAATGCGATTTCTCCGAGCCGTGTCTGCAACTGGACAGTGAATGGAAAAGCAGTACAGTCATCTCTCTATCACTCTGTCCTCTCCTACTATCAGCGCATTAACTCCATCAGCTCCTTGTGCTGCTTCTTCCGCTCACACTCCAGGGGCTGGATACCGGATCACCTCTAGCTACTTACATTGCTTGTATTTAGAAAAACACATTTAATTAACGGTTACAGAGCTGCGTTCACTTGTGTCCATTATATCTGCCCGGAGTGCCGGATACTTACATGTCCGGTGAGTGCCAAGTCGGATCTTCTGCAGAGTCATTGGCGCTGCTGCTATTTAACATTTCTGGGAGCGTTAGATAGCACGTCCCCCGCTGGGTGCTCTGGTAACACCCGCCGCCAGAGAGATATTGTAACAGGACAAAGTAGTGACATAGCAGGTAGCGGGCAAAACCAAAAATGTGCAGTGGGGGATAAGCTTCTCAGAAGTGTCGGCTAGCAGCGGTGCAAGAGAGTGGAGACCGGACTTACTGCCCGCCGAGCGGGTAAGTCAACTTCGTTTACAGGGTGCTCCTGCTTGAATGTTATTTTAGCTTAGCTACGGGGCCCCTTTAATGCCCCCCCTATCTGTTGTAAACCATCTGTGAGTTCAGTATGACCAACCTCATCTAACCTTACTGTATACTTATGGGCTAGTGTAAATATGTAGAAAAGAAGCTTCAATCACGCACAATAAATTGTCAACGCGTTTTGGCTCCAAGCAGAGGGAGAAAATAAACCCAACCGATAATGTACGATATGGTGTTTTTCTTTTTAAAAGGGTCTGTGTTATGTGAACCTTTCCACTAAAGCCAAAAAAATTAATAAAATCCTCTTTTCAAGCAGTCATAATGACCACTGTCTACCTGTACACTCATTTTCCAAGCAGCCTTTCTGACTGTCAGCCTGATATGATATTTCAGCAGGTGCGCAGGAGACGTTTGGAGGGTAAGGAGACAAAGAATTTCAGCTCATTTTACATGTAAAGTGAACCTGTTGTAATCGATTTAAAGGGGAGATTCTTTTTTTTTTTTTTAGAGTAAGGGAGGTTTAGAAACTCCCTACTGCAGAGATTCACCTTCTCTCTTTCTCCGGGTGGTCATTGGCCCCGTGAAAAAAGCCAAAATCTTGTCAGGAATAGAGGGGAAATTTTCCTCTAATTGGAGACATTTCCTCTAATTTCTTGTGGCATCTATTGGACAGGAATTGAGGGAAATCTCCCCAGTGGGACACAGATTGCAAACAAATGCCTGACGGGTTTTAACCGTTCCATACTCCACCAAAATAAAGAAAATAAATCGGCTCTATATATACGTTACCCCAGGAGTCCAAAACACTAAGGGGTATGTTTATAAAGGGTTTAGCGTGACATTCACTATAAATTTGCTCCACATTCACCCAAAGTTCACTTGGCAACATTCATTCTATTTATTAAACGCATGTACATTTGTCCAACATTCAGCTGCTAAAAAACATTACAATTGGCAATAGGGATGCACCGATACCAAGTACCGTACTCGGCACAAGTACAGATACCTCGAGCTCCAAGACTAGACTAGAGAAAAATTGAAAAGTTAGGCGGCCGCTGTCATTTGTAAGGAGCACACGGAGCTCCCGGGATTTGTACTACTCTGTTTTAATGTATGATTTTGTTTTTATAAATATATATTAGGGATGCACCCATACCAGTTTTACGAGTACGAGTACTGATACTTGTCCAAGTCCTCACAGATACAAGTACTGATAAATTTTTGTTTATTGTCATGTGACGGTTTTTCGAAGAAACATTACAGACTAATGATTTCAGGACAGTGGTGGAGTGCCAGAGCCAGGCCCCAGCTGCAACCGCTGCACCCTGGTAGTTCTCATGAAAATGCCAAGTGACGGCACTGGTATCTGAACATCCCTAATTGGCAACATCTGTTCTTGCGTGGTGAAAGGCGCTACTATTAACTTTCCCAATATTTAGAATAGGGTGAATGTTGCCTTCCCTGCACATTCACTGAACAGACTTCAAAATACAATTCAACTGGGTTGACATGTAGAATGTTGTATAATGAATGTATAGGCAGATTGCTCATGTAGAGGGCTGAGCATGTGCTTTTCACATGTTCAGCACTTCTAGGTTCATTTTTTTTTTACAATAAATTACAACTGATCTGGCATGCCAGCTGATATCTCAGTGGTAACAAGGCAATGAGGGTGCAGCCCCCTTCCATGTTGATGCAAGCCTGAATGTTCTTTAGCACTGGAGGTGCTTTGAGAGTGGTGCCCACTGCATAAAAGTAAGTGCACCACATGACTTCCTCCCCGCGTTGCACGACCTTCCCCAACCTCCCCCTTTTCCTTTTTCCTCCTTTTGGTTATCTGTATTATTTCTTCATTCTCCTTTCCTTTCTCTCTTTCTCTTTGGCCCCTTCCCCTAGTGCACAAGCATAATAGCTAAAGGCTATGAGACCTGTCCCCCACCCACTTGGAATGCTATCTTCCCCCTCATTGTGTGTCTAGGGGTGTTGTTTTGTGAGAGGGTGTGCCGGCCCACATTGGGCTGAAGGGAACGGGGTGGTGGTGGGGGGAGAGGAGAGAAGGAAGAAATGTTCTTCTCTTTCTTCCCCCTCTGTTGA